AGAAGAACTTGTGCTTGTAGATGAGGCCCCTATCAAGGTAAACACAATATCATATTAAATTGCAAAAGAAAAAATATTAGAATTAAAATATACTATGTATCTATTTAGGAGGTGGATGTTTTAAGTGGGCCTCTAAAAAGGGTTTTAGAGACCCTTGCACTCATAAAAGATGTATCATTGAAACTGCAATAGTCAGAATGTGAATTGCATACAGTTTTTTTGCTAGGTAGGACAAACATTATGGTTGCCTTACCTAACAACACATAATATATGCAGTTTGCAATTATTTGTAGCAGATGAATGAAATAACTTGTATGTAGGCACTTCACAAAGATTATAATGCATCAAATTTGGTTACATTAAGAAAAAGATTATGTATAATATTTTAGGTATCCCCTGATGCATTTCCTTGATTCGGAAGAAAAGACTTACAGGTTATAGGAATTTCACATTCCTTTTTTTTCTTCCAGGCAACTTCGGGAGGTGCAGCAGGGGAAGCCAATTTTATTCTTTGATACTTTGTATCCTATGTGCCATTATATTGTACCTTCTATTGTATGTTCGAAATGCCAAATAAATAATAATAACTTTAGGGGTGAAAATGTCTTCAGATAATTATCTCCCTAAGATGTGGACTAATTGCTGATTTCATCTCAACTTTTCATCATTTATAAAAGTAAAACGTACAGTGCACAGTAAAATCATACAAGATTTCTGTGTGTAGTATAACACTTCATATACCACACCCATAATCTTAATGTACAGTCAAACCTGTCTATAGCAACTGCCCAAGGGAAACACAATAAGTGGTCTTTGTAGACAGGTTCCTTTAGTACATGTTTCAATGAGAAACCATTTGCGAGGGAAACACAAAATGTGGTCTTTGTAGATGGGTGGTCACTAAAGTAGGTTTGAGTGTACCACATTGTGTATATCACAGGATACATACACCAAAGGCTTCAAGATTGTTTAACTCTTTCCAATTCAAGATCAATCTATATCGGTTTTAAATGGGTTATAATGGAGCTGATCAAGACCAAAAATGGGCAAACATTTCAAAGTACAGAACGATAGTTCACAAAGCAATCTATCCGTCCATTGGTGCCTCTTGATTTTGTGCAAAACTGCTTTGTGGCAAACAAACGGCCATGCAGAGAGGTGAGGAAAGCAAGTGAAGGGTTAATTCTTGATAGTCTTTGGTCGACCAGGGGAACAACCCTTGGACAACTACAGTGGACTTCTGTCACATGAGGCCTGTCACATGAGGCCAGTCTTCATCAGCTCGAGTTTGACAAATAATCTACTATTTTTAGATTGGGATAATATGATCCCGAAGCTCAAAATTGCATCTTCACCAGACCGACACGCTCATCACAAACTAGCTTGGATGGGTGCAAATAGCGGGATATTTTGGAAACAAGACCAAGATTTCTCTGGATATTTTCTTGACCAAATATCCTGCTAATTGCAACTGCGGGCTGATGAAGAGCAAATTAACTGGCTAATTTGCGATTGGGATTGTTACAATAGTGGGTTATTTGGCAAACTTGAGCTGATGAAGACAGTCCTCAGTAGTGTGTTTGCATGTACACTCCAAACAATGAAGCTGTCTTGGGTTACAATCCATGACGATTAGAGTTCAATGCTTCAAAGATTTACGTCAATATGGAAAGGTATGCCTATTATTAAAATAAATATACTCCTTTTTTCCCCAAGATATTGAATAGCTTTGTTCAGGTAGTCATACTAAAATTATATTATCAAGAAGTATGGCAGAAATGACAGGGTGCATTGCTCTTTATATTGGTATGTGTTATACCCCCTGTCCACACACAACATTTTCCGTGACTAATCATGATTAGCTATACCGTTTCGCGATAGTTTTACGACCAAAATTGTAGGTGTGGACGCTCACTAACGATACGTCGTATAACGAAACTAGTCTAACGAAACGCAGGTTTGTGCATCGTTTCGAACTGAAACTCGATAGAGAATCACGCCTAATCACGGAAAATGTTGTGTGTGGACAGGGGGAGTGTAACTAGTGTAACTAACTGGGCGGGGCTTAACGTGACCTCGAGCGAAATGAGACCAGACCTCTTATCACTATCGTGAAACTCTATAAAGAATCACAGAAAATGTTGTGTGTGGACAGGGGGCATTTTATACGATGATTCTTTAGTGACGACGTTTCCTGTGTGTGGACATCCTGGAATTTATACGATGATTCTTTATACGACGTATCGTTATAGAGTTTCGGGATAAATTGTTTTGTGTGTGGACACGCTGATAGAGTCTTGAAAATACATACATATTTTAAATTGTTTATAGTTGTAGAAATGCATAAACATCTGAGAATTGAAGGAGGGTAACACCTGCATTTTGGTCGGCTAATTTCGGACCAAGGATGTTTATACAAAGAATACACAGCAGTGAGGGCACTACTAAGAATTACCCACACAAGGTACCTTTGGAACAGTCTAACATGCCGAGGCGTTAGCCAAGGGTGTTTTGACTATTTTGAAGGTACAGAGTGTGGGTAATTTTACTAATGCCTGAACAAAATGATGTGTATTATTTGTTTTTATAAGATTATGATTTATTTGTTTTATAAAATAATGTTTTATAACATGATTTTACTGATGACCGGTCATTACTATTGGATAATGACCGGTCATTATCCAAATTGCACGTCAGGTAAAATAAATGCCTGGTCACATGTATGCTCTCTACCAATGATTTGATTTGGATCCGTCATCATCTTATAAAATGATGAACTGTATGTTCTAATGAGAATTTTTTTTATTTATTTTGTGTCCAAGTACAAACAGATACAGACATGTTAAAGCATGTTCACTTAGAAGTTGTTGACATTCAAATTTAATGATGACACAATTAGAGCTAATGAGAGCTAATGCAGACCCAAAGTTCAATGATGAAAGTTTAATCCAGGATAATTGTTTATAACTGCTGTAGCACAACAAACTGCATTAACCAACTGACACAGTTAGATGTAGATCTTCATTGTGGTAATGTGCAAGTAAGCACTATTGCATAGTTCATGCTTCATAGCCTGGATTCATTCTTTTTTTGACAAATATAGTTTCAATGTTCTGAAAAATGCTCTATTGTGCTATGTATAAGTAGGGCAAAGTACACCACTTGTTTTATTGTTTCCTCACTCTCTTCACCTTCCTTGTTGTTCACACAGCTAGGCATTGCAGTTATTGCCTTTTTCATTGGGTGGCCCATTGTATGCATTTGAATATAATTTGCCCCATATAAAGCAAATAGTGTGGTTGGATCCTGTTTAAGATTAGGAAGAACTGAGGAGAGGGATTGATTTAAAAGCCATTGCATATTAGAAAACCGGCCCTACCAGGTGCAGTTTTACAAGAAGAATTTGGTGGGGGCGTTAGAATTCTTGCATTCATTTTCTACATGTACCTTGCTTAATTAAAATCATGTTTAATCGAGAAAGGTTGGGGGAGGGCTTGTATGATTTTAGGGGAGAGCCCCCCCCCCCCCCACAAGTCCCACTCTAGAGCCACTATTGTATACCACATTAATATGGTCAACATGGTGATCATCACAGATTTTGCTTTAAAATCACCCCCATGGTTATACTTTGCTTATGATAATGTTTTAAACTGAGCTGTGTGCAGTCAATATTAAGATGATCCACTGAGAGATGATTGCCCTGGGCTTTTGTTCATCAAAAGTATAGGGTTAAAGTTTGGTTAGGTTACATGTATGGGTTAGGTATAGTGTTTCTTAAATTTTATCAGAGATCACTACTACATGGTACTCTTTGAATGATTATAGGTTACATCATCAGCTGCCAGCATACAGCCCAGCCAGAAGCCCGTAATTAAGAGCTACATGAATGTATTGTCTTAACGTCAACCCTCGACCAAACACTATACGTTACCTAATCCTAACCTTAAACCAAATTGCAACCCTAAGCTTTATTGTTTAATATAACATTTGCTAAATATAAAATTTGATACATGTAGCCTAGAGCAGTTGTTGCCAGGTCATATGTCGCAAGTAAATATACAATATGTAATATACATAATGTATATCCAAATCGCTATAATGTTAAAGAGTATAATTAAATAGTAATAGTTTGTTTATTAAATTCAAATCAAAACTACGATATCATATACAGAGTGTATAGTGTAAAGCAAATAAGCAAAGTGTTTTATTGACGAAATTATTCAAAAAATGTTAAGGTTATAACCATTTATTTAGTTCATTTAATTGATGTAAAATTGTAAATATATTTGATGGTTAAATAAAACACCTCGGTAAGAAGATAAGAAAGAAAAAACATATTGAAGTATACAGCAGGAAATGTGAAATCTTCAACATGAACAGTGAGCGTGGCCTGAATTGTAAAATAATAAAATTTTGTATACCCATGATTTATGTGAAGTTGATCAGACAAACTAATCAGGTAATAACATAAGATTAATGAAAATGATATTTCTACATCTCTTTTTTATGTATCAACTATATTTACATAAAGTTTTCTATGAATAAAAAAAGTACATTCATTCTCATGGTTAATGAGAAATATGCATTAACTGAAGAAATAATGAGATAATCAAGTTGATTATAAGTACATGTTTACTCTGACAGACACTCATATTTTCATTCGTATTGAAAGTTAAGGTTTTGCATCTTCATTGGAAATTCTTGTAAACTGAATTAACAGATGGTATTCTCCCCAATAACTTCAGATACTTTTGATGTTTTGCAGACTTGGGGCCCCGTCTTACAAAGAGTCGATATCAATTGCAACTTATTTGTGATTGATATCAATCTCAACTATGTCCATAAGAGATAGGAGACTGCAAACTTGCGATTGATTGGAGGACTTGTGATTGATGTGGATCAATCGTAATGCTTTGTAAGATGGAGCCCAGGTCTTCAATTTTTCTGATTTCGGTCAAACATTAATTCCAATACTACCTGTATGCGTTCTTTGAATACAGGGTGCAGCCCAGACCTCCATGACAACAAGCGCAAATATGACATCAAACGAAAACATGACAACGGTGGAACTGACCACCATCGCAGACGTAACCGAGCTCCTGGATTTCACGACAGACCTGACGACAGAGAGTTCTGGAGGTGATCTCCCGGGATGGATCTACGGTGCAGTAGCAGCTGGTGCAGTGGTCCTGATTGTAATCATAATTATCATCATAATATGTGTCAAAAAGAGATGTCGGTGTCGACGAACTCCACCTACCCCAGTGGTAAGTTTTTTATATCTATGCTAAATTGAATTATGTTTTAAAAGGAAGGATGTGTATAGAATTCTGCCTTCTTCGGTGATGAGTTCTTGATAAACAACTGATGTAATATGATTGTAATCAGAATTAGAATTATAATAGGTTAACAAAAATATGTGCATGAATAGAATTTGCCTTCACCCATGCCAATTAGTTCTTGAGACATTTTGCAGATATTGATGTTATTTGCTTGTAATCATGCATTATTAACATCATCATACTTTTTCCAGGGCTCTGGCTTCTCCAGGGTATGTTCATGAGAAATAATGCAAAGATTCAGTGCTCTGATATGATTGTAGTCATGGTTATTATTTTAGTATGAATCGTTATAGAGATGCATATCAAGGGCCCCAAAGCATGCACCTTGCCTCTTGGTTGCCTTCTTAAGTAGATGGGGAAATTGATTTGAAATTTGATTTTCTTGAGTATCGCCAAAGTATGTTTAAAAAAAGAAGTACAAGTATATAAAACTCTGCTTCCTCTTTTGGAACTTCTCGGCAGATGACTACTGACTCTGATGTATGTCTTTGGGCTTTGATATTGATGGATGATAAATACATGTGTTTTGTTTTTTATTTAGATATGAGTGTGCATGTGATCTGGTGTGGCTTAGCTAGTCCAGCTGCATGTTGATGGGAACTGCTCTTAATTACTATGTAGATAAACTGTTAGAGAACAATTAAGGCCATGATCGAAGTGAGGGGAGGGTGTAATATTATGTTCATGTTGATGTTCTGCAAATTAATATGCTAATCCATTGTGTGTATGTTGCAGGAGGATTTGGAGGATGCCCCCTCCTCCCCCCCCCCCCCCCCTCCCCTTTCCTCCCCTTTCCTCCCCTCCCCTGGCTAAAAAAACCTGGACCCACCACTGTCTTTTGAAGATTGGACAAAAACATTCTTGATCTGGAAATATTTGGTCCACCAGCATAAAATGTCATCTTGTGTTGCACCAGTAAAACTAAGTCCAAGGGAGCACATTTGCCTATACACATTTTACAGAAGTTAGAAAATTTGAATAAAATGCCTGAGAATTTTTTTGACATGATCCAAATGAAAGATTGCTTTCCAAATTTCAGAACATCTTTTTGAAAGCTATTTGATATGTAATTATATTCAAAAGTTCAGATACTTAAGTCAAGAATATTTTTGAATAACTTACCGGTAGGTGCATTTGGGCAAGGAATGTTGTTATAAGGACAAAGAAAACAATGCGTAGGATTGAAGCGTAAATTGTACTTAAAAATAGACATCAAAGAACACTTTTATCTGTACAGGGAGCACTTTTTAGGGATGGCAACATTCATGATTGGTTTGTGCACCTGTGAATACCCCTAATGATATAATGATATATGGATATATTCACCTGTATGAAAGTATATCACTTTATTTCGAATTGTATTTAGACATACTTTGATTTTTTTTTTCAGGATAAGAATGTCCCCCTATCAGATTATGTAAGTTCATCATACAACTTTCTTGGGTGTATTACTATTTATGTGCCACCAGTTTGGATAATTGTAATAAATCAACTTTCAAGATTAAAATCTGCATATATACTTTATATACTTTTATAGTGCACAAAAATATGGAAAAAATAAAGTACTGAATATAACTAACACACTAACTAACTAACTAACTAACTACATTATATATATTTTGTTGTGTTTGTTTGTTTTTTGTAGCGTAGTATACCTGCTGTTAGCACTGACAATATATATATAGTTTATAGTTTTACTTAATTTTTTTATTTTTGTGTTCAGTTGTTGTTTAAATCTTGCCTTCAATTTATTGTGTGTTGTTTGCTTCTCTCTCTCTCTCTCTCTCTCTCTCTCTCTTGTTTATGTTTTCTTATAGTAAACAGAATCTTTTGCCAAATTCTTTAATGAATTATGTCCAATTAAATACATCTGTGCCTAATTATTTCACAAGAAATTCTTGAAATATACACATCCCACAGTGCAATACCTCCCTTTTTAAAAATAGTTTATTTTACCAAGGTACTGTGATTTGGAATTCAATTCCCTCTAACATTCAGAATAGCTCTTCAGTATCTGTTTTTAGAAGGAAATACAGAATATTTTCATTATTGAATTATTAGATTCAATATTAGGCTCTTTTGTTAGTCTGTTTATTAGGTTAGGTATTTCATTTCTTATCTTAACTTGTGCTCCGGTTGTATGTGTTTTTATGTTACATATTATATTATATTGTCATACATTTGTCTGTTTATATATGTATTTTTATCTGTTGATCTCTTGAGGTGAAATAAATTTCTCTCTCTTTCTCTACCTCCCTCCCTCCTTCCATCTCCCTCAAACCCCCCTCCCCTCTCTCTCTCTCTCTCTCTCTCTCTCTCTCTCTCTCTCTTTCTCTCTCTTAGGCTAACTAAATAACCCGGGTGACTACGCATTTTAACCAAATGATTCTGGGTATTGGTGCTAATAATAATAATAATAATAATAATCTTTTAAAGTCCACTCCAAATTTTATTAAACCGAAAATGGAAATTCTTTTTGCCCAATTGATCAAGAGCCCAGCAGCCACTGAGCAGCGCCAGATCGACGTCGCTCTATCCCTTTTTGTTGAATTCCCCCCTCTAAATCATATCTTTTTCTGCGACAGTTTTTACATCTACTATGTCTATTTTACCAGGACCCTTTAATATACAAGCACAGAAGCACTGCTTTTCAATAGGTTCCTCACATTCCACTTAATCTATCAAATGAATTGAGTATCATTGAGACATGCCCATACTATATATATATATATATATATATATATAATTTCCATTTTATATGTCTGTCTATATTTTTGTACCTATGATATACAAGCACTTTTTTCAATAGTTTCCTCAAATTCTATTCAATCTATCATATGAATTGTGAATCATTGAGACATGCTCATATAATATATGTAATTTATATTTTATATGTCAGTCTATATTTTTAGTAGTATGTGGAACAAATAGACACTGATGAAAACTTGAACTATCTTTCTGTTTCTATAATCAGCCATTCTATCTTTCACAACATGTTTATCAAACCTTTTTTGTTTACATTTTAACAGGGACAAGAAAGGGACAAGACATACAATGGAGGATACACAGATGACAATCAGGTGAGTTGTCATGATCAAAGCATATTGAGAGAGAAAGTTGTGACACTCGCATCTATGCATATACGCAATTAGCCCTGTCATACGTTAAATTATGGAGCTCCAAATATATAGTTCCCTCCAATGTACAATCTCTATTGGAAGGAACTATTTGGAGCTTCTTGAAATTACTGACCAATCAGAAGCAACATCTAGTGATGTAACCATCCCTCTCAAATAGCTATGGTCATAATCATTGCTGCTTTTTTATTCAATTCTATTCAATTATATTCAATTCTTTTATTCATTCATTTGTGTCCTTTAAAAGGTGTAGCTTCCAAATATGTGGCATACAAATCAGTAGTTGTTCAAAGTTAAATCAATATATATACACAAGAAATAAAAGACCAAATAAATGTGTTCATTCTATCCACACGCCCACACACACACACACACCACTACAGGGAAATGGCGTCAACCGTGGACCAAGTTTAGTACTTGTGTGCGTGTGCGTAGGTAATCACCAGCAACCGCGGACCACTCCATAGAAAACTACATCAAACCGCGGACGTACCTCCTATGGGATGATCCAGGTAGCGAGCGCCTCTCCCGCGCAGTCAAAAGGGGGCGCTGTGACATTTTGCGATACACATCGGACTGATCCAGTCGATGTTGCCTACACGCTGTGACATCTAATATTCAAACGCCCCCTACGTCGTAAATTTGATACGGCGGAACCGCGGTATCGCAACCGTGGACGGTCCTCCATTGCAGGTACGTCCGCGGTTTGAGGTAGTTTTCTATGGAGTGGTCCGCGGTTGCTGGCATTTTCCTACGCACACACGCACACTTTTTTTTAATTTTTTTTTTAACAATTTTGTTTTATTTCTCCAGATGTGTAACACAAACCATGACATACAATTGAATAAAATAAACGTGTTCAATATTGATGCTTTTACATAAACATAATCAAACACAAACTTATTTGCAGTATAATATAACTTAACAACAAAGTAAACGTATAAGTACCTAAACATAATATGTCAATTGTAAATGTTATTTACTTATATATTACAAAAAAAAACAAATCTGGAGATAATTTTACTGAAACAATCCTGCCCCCTCCCTGCCCCCTACATCACACAGACATACTCACCCTCTATCACACAAACATACTCACCCACTCACACACATACTCACCCACCCACCCACCCACCCCCCCCCCCACACACACACACAGTACCCACTCAGTGGATGTCTGCCAACATTCTCAACTTAAGAAAAATATACTAAATAAGTTATCCAGGCCGCAAAATCGAGTTACGCTTTTAACAAGCTCACGGTGGAGAAGAAAGCAAATCTTAATTAATCTTAAGCTGCTCCCACTTTAAAAAATGTGATCCTAGCTTTCCCATTTTAATTGCTATTTTCTTTTCCTCATCCCTATACTTAAAAATGCTTTTTTTCATCTTTTCTAAAGTTAGTACTCGCCCCCCCGATCTTGACATAAATGTAACATACTTCACCATGAAAATGATAGTATTACACATTTTTATTCTATATGAACTGCCTACCAACCCAACAAATATATCTCGCCATTCTAAATCTTTAATTTCATCTAACTCAAAAAGTTGTATTAAAGCCTGCCATAACCTTTGAACGCTCCCACAAGATAAAAATAAATGTTTGTATGTTTCTATTTCCTGCTTACAAAACGAACATAAATTATCACCAACAAAACCAAATCTATGAAGATGCTCATTAGTGTATATGGCTCCATGCAATAATTTAAATTGAAATTCACGTTGTTTTCTAATGAGTATAGTAATTCTTGGTCTCACAAATATTTCTTTTAATTCTTTATCTATAAAATCATAGTCATTTTGCCCATCCCTTACCTGCAAATCATACGTTCGCTGCAGTGCTTTGATGAAATAATCATAGAGTGTTCTTGAACCCACATCCACAAACTGTATTTTTTTACTAGAAATATGGAAATAAGTATTAAAGCTTATCAAATCAACCTCGAGGAATTCTATTAACCCTGAATCATCCTTCCATAACCTGGGTATCGCATCATAAATATCAATAATCATAAGCAAATTATTACCTTTCATACCGAGGTTCATAAAATATTTAACAGGCTTAACATGACCTTTCTCAACCAAATGATTCAGTTGAACAATCCCTCTTTCAAACAAGTATCTATCAAATATACTTTTTCCATTTATACATATATTCTGATTATTAAAAATAATTGGATTAATATAACCCTCCAAATATCTTAAATTACTTGTCTCTTGCCATGCTTGCAACATTTCCACACACAAACACCACCACACACACACACACACACACACTGACACATGAATAATCTCCCTGTTTCAAAATATATTCATCCTGGGATTGCAAAGGCTTCAATCAAGCAAAGGCTTCAAATTATTTAACTGTTTCCAGTGCAAAACTAATCCATACCGGTGTTAACAGATTGAAAGTGGATACATTGCAAAGCCATTGTATTGCTCAAAGCAATCCTTCTGTTAATTGCTTCCCAATGGTATGTGCAAAATTGCATGTGTGGCAATTTTTTGCTACAGTTGATGATATCTTACAATGAATTGTATCTTATTGTAACAGAAAACTAATTGTAAGGAGATTTGATTCATTTCGGGGGAGATACTATCAATGGTAACTCTTTATATTATAGGAACCCTTGTGCTTCGTTTTTAAGATCTTTAAAGAACATATTACTCCTTAACACTTATTTCCTTGCTTTCTTCCTTGCTTCTCTCTTCTAGGGTAACACACATACCGCTATTGAGATGGATCCTCAAATGTCCCGTATTGAAGATGACATTTATCAGAATACAGCCTTTCCATCTCAAGTAAACCCAGCGTTCGATCATTCCCAGCCATTCCATTCCCCGGATGACGACTTCCCCAGTATGCCCCCACCAGCTCCGCCGAGAGGGGCGTCGTCCAACATCGACATGGATACCCGCCCAGCTTTAGTCATCCCGTCTCCTCGTTCGCCCTACTTGCCTAGTCCAGGCCCTATGCCGCTAGCATCGCCCCTGGATGACATCCCCGACAGACTACCTCCTGCAGTTCCCACCCCAGGACTAAAGGACATCAGAGCAGAACTCAACGATAAGTTTAAGGACGTAGCACCACCTGATAAAAAAACAAAGAAGAAGAAAGAGAAAAAGAAGGACAAGAAGGAGGACAAACCAAAAGCCCCACGTAAGTATTTCTTAGGAAGAAGGTTATATTGTAGGGTTCACAGCTTTCCCGGACATCAGGAAATACCTGAAAAATTAGTTTATTTTTTCCAGTCAAGGAGAATTAAGTCAGGGAAATTTAGCAATATCACTTGAACCAGGAGAAATCATGACATTTCTTTGACCTAAAATGATAGTAGTCAGTCTCGTTTTTTATCGCATGTCTAAAATCCACCAGATGATTGGCAAAGATTACTTTTTAGTGAGTAACATGTCTTCTTTTATTGATCCTGGAATTCCATCATGGATTTTTTAAAAAAAATATTAAAGGCTGGCAGCCTTGAGTTCTGGGTTAAAAAAACAAACAAGCAATCTTACAGAACCAAATGAAATTCACCATTGTTGTTTAAGATTAGAAATGAATTGATATACTTGTCAAATATTTTTGTGTGAGAATGTGTAATAGCTATTGTAACAAGCAAAGCTTAAATCCAGTCTCCAATATTTCAATGTGTGTTGTACCTTTCCATGAAATGTGATTTCCAGCCAATAAACACTGTCCCTTTTTTTATTTCATCTTTGCAGAGCGTGAAATTGATCCAAACGAACAGGTAAGGGGAGAAGTTCCAATGCAGCCCACTCACAATCTTGACTCGGCTAGACCAAAGCCCAAGATTCTAGCTAGATTTGATTTTCCTCCAAAGCAGATTGATGTGGCTGATTTCGGAGAGAATTATGAAGAGATGTCGCCTAGGCAACAGGAGGAAAGAGACTTTGGTGGAGAGTATGAGGATATGGGTGGTGATGGAAGTGAGGATTATGATGACGAGTATGAGGATGTGGATCCAAATGCAAAACCTGTGAAGCCAGTGGGTACGAAGCAGGCCATCCCTATGCCTTATAATTTACATGGACAACGCGGTGTAGCAAATTTAAATCAACGTCCTATGGTCCCACCCCCTGAGACAGCAGAAGATTTTGGTGGTGATTATGAAGTAGTAGTGTCTCCAAATGAAGAACCGAAGCGTCGATTGCCTGGCAGGAATATTGACAATCGTCTGCGAGTATCCATCCCCTCTCAGGATGAAGACCAAGATCATGGTGGATTGTACGAGGATGTTGCCAATCCCACCGTCTCACCGAAGAGGAAACCTCTGGTACCTAAACCTAAAACTCCAAAGAAATCCCCTAAGCCACCACCTGGGGATGACTTTGGACAAGAATACGGCAACACGGGCAACAGGACCATGTTTCCTGCTACCACGACCCAACGACGTCCGCCAACCCTCCCCTCATCGTCAAATTGGCATCAAGAGGAAGAGGAAGATGATGACTGGCTTCCTCCTCCTCCTCCTCCACCCCCAGGACTTGATCAGGGTTCTCCTGTGCAATCACCAGACCAAGACTACGGGGCAGAGTATGACAACATTGGAATCAAACCGACCATTAAGAAAAAACCACCAGTGCCGAAGCCGAAGGTAGCCAAGAAACCCAGTAATTCTGGTGGCAGCTCAACGCTTCCGATGAATCCCAAGCAGCAACTGTCGCCCTTCGAAGCGCGGTCGTCTGCAACTCTGCCCGTACCCGGTGGACACGAAATGATCGAAGAAGGAGAAGAAGATTCGTTTTACGAGAATCTGGAAGGTCTTAAGGGGAAGCTATCGATGCATTATCAAAACTTACCCACTGCAGAAAAGCCCCAAGAACAGATTCTGAGTAGTGGCTATTCCAGTTTCAGTGAACGTCCAAAATGATTTGAACGATGGTCTTAAGCCATCGCCTACTGCAACCAAGTGATTCCTGTACCTATCCTATGGGAATAGGAGAATTCAGTGATCGAGGGGTTATGAACCTCTGTCTACTTTATCGCCTGCTGATGAAATACTATGGATCTTCAAGACTGCTTGGCTTTCAATCCATGTTTGATGGTCCATAGGATGTAAAAGGGAAATCACCTTTCTCTTGTTGGCAGCTGTTTTTTGCTCTATCACCATGTTGTTCCAAACTTGTATTTAGTCTTCATGCACCATCCAAAAATCCCATGCTGTATTTTATGTCAATTAAATATGCACTAATGATAGATAATGCATAAGAAAATGTATATTACATCAAATCCTTGTTGTACATTGTACTTTTATCAATATGGAAAGATACAACATAAACAAAATATTTTGAAGAGAAAAAGGAAACTTTAAATCCTTTCGGGTTCGAACCCACAACCTCCTGGTTGTGAGGGGGAAGCTCTACTGACTGAGCCAACACACCGGTATAGGCCTATGTTTTTATTTCAATCAATTGCAGATCTTACAAAGATATGGGTGCTACATTAGTTTTGTCAAACATAATTACCATGGTAAAGCGTAATTAGACTTTGAAGATGTGCTTCGAAACATAGACATAGTATTAAGTACTTGATGAATGTTATATATCATTTATTGTTAACTTGTTTCTACAAGTGCAGTACTACGTGTTAACAACTCATGCGTGTGGTGGTGTATCATTCAATGATTTGGTCATGTGGGCCAGTATACTGGTTAATCATTTGATAGAGCTTATGCAACTGCCCATTTAAGTCATTCTGTTGCTTCTTTTTGCAGTTATTTGTAAGTGAAGAAGTGATGGTCAGCTCTTTGGTCAGATTAAATCATGGTTTAGTGTCGGTTTAGTGTCAATTTGGGATCAAAGTCCATCCCCAATTTTTACATAATTATTCGATGATTAATATATGCCAGCTTGCCCTATTGACCAAAAGGAATCACTACGCCAATTTTTTTCTAAATACTTGCCCATAGGAAAACAAAATGCCTTCTTTGGCCAGTTGAGGGGCAAATAGAATGTAAAGCATATAATTATGCTGCTAGTTTGTACATTTTTAGATATTTATACAGATACTACTTAACAAATCTATCTAAACAATTTTCTTATTTGAGGGGATTAAAAAAAAAAATGTCCTTTTTCAAAGATTTTGCTGTTGGTGTTACTGTTGTAGTTGTTGCTCTTGGAGTTGTCTATGTTTTTTGTACAACAATCATGCAGTATTTTTAGAGCCCTGTCATATCCTCTTTGAGAAATCTACTTGAAGATATCAAAGACAAAGAATGCTGCATTCCAACCGTAGAAGGATTGTGTAACTTCTGTCTGTTATCTCTAATGATACATGTACACATCATCCGCTGCCCGCCAGAAGGCCTTAAGCTATATATCGGCAGTGGCAGTCGCAGCCTTCTTGCGCGTAGCTGACAATGTACTGCTGGTTGATATCTATAAAGTAACTGCAATATGTGAACCAAGAATGTTAATTGTTTTTACTGATCAAGTAATTTGAGGGATATGATCACGGAAGATCAAAGGTTTATTTGCCCTGGCTATCTGATGATTGGGCAGGTTTTGTTCTAAACAGTTGCATATGATAAAAAAAGGACTGTGAGTATATTATAGCTTAGTCTGATTGAACAATGGTTCAAGAATATATTGTGTGCTTGGGGAGCCAGAAGTGCAATAAATTTGTGTAAAGGATATGAGTTAACTTCCTTCTGGTTCCAAACAGACCAGGGGGAGTTTCACAAAGACTTAAACATTATAGAAAGCCGTTAGCATCTTTGAAAATATTTTGTAAAAGTAATTTTAAAAAGCATAAAATGTTGAATCAAATCATTCATATTTTCTATTATCAAGGAGATTTCATGTTCTTGATGTGGAATTTATGAAAAGTCTAAAATACTTGAGTTTTTGCTTTTGATTATATTCTATCTGAGGGCTATTAATGACTCTCCATAATTTTAAATCCAACTTAAAGTTAAGTTCAACTTAAGATCTTTGTGAAACACCCCCCTGATATAACATGGAAGCATGCATGCATGGTGTGTTGATCAATGAGGAAATACTGGTTGCTCGATTTAAGAAGCAGCATTGTACATTGTGACTAATATTTTTCACGTGTTTGAATTATTTCGTTTTATTATCTGCTTTGTTTCATGAAACAATAGGATAGTGTTTGTTTAAGCTTTTGTGGTATTTTTTTTAATGGAAAAGGGTCTGTTTTTACAAGGTGCAAGGACTAATGCAGAAAAAATATCTCAAATTGCGATTGTAATATATATATATCTATATCAATTTTTATAGAATAATTTTGTCTAAACACATTAAACTCATTGAGCTTTTCAAGGCTACCCTCAAAGGCATATCGAAAAGTTTAGGAGAGAAGCCAATTTTATCTTGTCTATGGCCACCTCAACTCAACTCAAATCCATTTATCTTTAGTCCAACCTCCGAACAATTTCTCTGATTTAGGGAAAATCAGAAAATTACATAACAATTCCACATTATGTCATGAACATCAAATTCTATTTGAGACAAATTTATAACCCCTTATGGGACAGTATGGTGTGGTATGCAATATTCGCTCAAAAATTGTTTTGTACGCAAGTGATGCAAAATCTGAATTTTTATTAATGGATTTTTATTTTAAAAACACTTTCCATTTTTAGTCGCATTCAATAACATGCTATATTTATAACTTGGCACTGGTATGAGGAAATAATTTCTTCATAATAAAAAAAACCCTGGAGTTTTGGATCATTAAGCACGGATGAAATAAGTGGTGCGTGGTCCATTCATAGTCTGGTGATCTGGGCAGCCTTTCATGAAACCGTCATAAGTACAAGTTCACCGACATCCCATTGAAACTTGTGTTAAACTGAATACACGCATATCAATGGGATATCGGTGAACTTGTACTTGTGACGGTTTTGTGAGACGCTGCCCAGGTTGTCTCACATGGAATGCAGTCTTAATTAAATTAAATTCAATTCAATGTATTTATTTGTGCAATGTACGTTCAACATGACTATTTGTCTCGCTCACATGTAAATAAAGGCTCAGACATAGCTAACAAAGATCAGAAATAGGATACAAAACATGGATATATTTTAGTGATGACAAAATAATAGTCATATATATGATATTGATTTTCGTTTGGTGATTGCTTGTTTTTTTTCCTTAAAAGTTACATGACATAGGCCTACTTAACTTTCACTGTTTGATTTTTGCTCAATTCTCTATAAACTGTTTCTCTGATGTTCCTACTTTTAACTCATTGAAGCCTGTTGTATTGGCTAGAGACTCTCGATATGTTTTTTGTACCAAATCAATTCATATCCATTGGGTCAATCAAGGTAACATTTTTATTTACTTTAATGGGAATTTATATTTAACACTTTGTTCGCTTTCTTTGCCTATCTGCACCGTCACCCGTTTTCCACACATGTATTTATGCACAAAACCATAGGCACTAATTGAAGAAAGGATTGCTGTGTGGAACACAATGGCTTCACAAAGTTACCCCTTTCCGGTCTTATTTAGCTCCATGATAACCCTATCAACACTGGTGTAGATTAATCTTACACTGGAAACAGTTAAATTATCTCGATGCCTTTCGTACATCTATCCCATGATAAGTACAATGTGATACAGGGAGACTATTCTCATACAAGAGATGTATGCCCTGATTTTAAGATGGTTTTGATAGAAACTGAAAAATGAGAGGAACAGGTCAGTAAAAGTTTGAGCAAAAACTGTATAAAAGAATAGTATATTTTCTGTCTATTTTGTGTGCATGCATATCACATGAACATATGATTGAGTTTTTTTGTTTTGTTTATCAGTCATCTGCCTATATTGTTCATTTTGACTTTTTTTTCTATAATCATATAAGTACATATTCTGTCTTATCAAATGATGTAACCAAAACTTTGCAATGTTTTAAATAACATTAAGCTGTTGTTTTTCAGTCAACATCATATAATTTGAGCTTGTTGCTCTTCAACTTACGCTTGTTATCAGGTTATGAGTTTACAGGCTAGCCTGATGATGATACCCACCAACAAACCAGTTTTATACAATCATAAATGAACTTAGGAAATGAGGACAGTATCTGAAAATTTGTATGCCTTAAAAGCAGGGTAATTTACATTGTGTCTTCATGAACTTTCTATAAGCCAACTTTTATATTTTTATTCAATTTTCAATAGTTTCATTTTATATAATTGTACTATATATACAATAGGAAGGCAAGGCAGGGGCATCAATCTACCTTCGATGGGGGAGGGGGGAGTGGTTAGGGGCAAAGTTCTCCCTCCCTCAAATCGACATCATTGAAGGAAACACTTTATTTATAATAGTAATGCTATTAGTACATGTCCGAGAAAGAATTGAATTCAAAATATACAAAGCTTGCAACAGATGATGTAGGGTAGTAGTAGAAGTAGTAGTAGTAGAAGAAGAAGTAGTAGTTTCTGTAGTAGTAACAGTAGTAGTAGTAGCAGTAGTAGGAGTAGTAGAACTAGTAGTAGAAGTACTAATACTATGAATACTACTACTACTATTATTACTACCCCCTCTGTGTAACTCCTTCCAATTATAACACATTCTAGTGCAAATTATAGAGCAGTTTTCATGTAACCTGACACATGAGAAACTAAGCAATTTTTAGCATGAACAAAACAAAGGCACCATAATCTATTTGCAATGATCTTTATAGATCATTGTTCTATTTCTTTATATTTTATGTGAAGTATCATATATTACTCTGGGATATTCTTTAGCAGTTGAAAGTTTTTATGTAGATATACTGTATATATTTATATATATATATATGTGGTAATAAATGTGGATTCACAGTTGACTTCAGTCCCATTTACACAGTTGCACATCATATATTCAGTACTTGGAGAAAGAGCAATGTACAAATTGTTTAATACTTTTTTGTACTTTATATGCCAAAAAATAGGATGATTAATCATTTCTGAATAGAGGAATTTCAATCAGTACATCTATGCATTTTATACAGCGTATAAACCACAGTACACTAAGATTTTTTATTTTAATTGTGTGAAAATATTATAGTTAAATTAATCAAGTTGAACTGAAAACTGAATATTTCAAAAGAGTTTGTGATATTTTTATATTGAAAACATTTGTGTCTTTGTAACTGTAGTTTCATTTTTGTTTTTGTTTTGTTTTTGCAAATGATCAAATTAAGCAATGCTGTCATTATGTTTTTGTATGAATTGTATACACTGATGAAATAAATTGAACATTTTTTTTACAATAACTGTGTGAATATGTTCATTTATATTTGTATTCTGTGTGTTTGATCAAAATAAGTGAATGTCATTATTTCCCTTTTTTCTCTTGTAGTGTCTAGTGACTAAATTCTCAGAACCCTGGGAAGTGTAGCTTAGAGAGCCAATTAAAGCTTATTTGGGGGCAGCTAATAGTGAAACCTGCATAGAAAGACCGCTCAAGGAAGACAACAAAATGATCCTTGAATACAAGTTCCTTTAGAGCATGTTTCAGTGAGAAACAAAAGATCAAGGAAAACCAACAAATACTCAGATGTCAGGGCCCAAATAGACAAATGGTCTTTCTATATAAGGGGTCACTAAAGCAGGTTTTACTCTAATTTTCCTGTCTCAATGTTGCATGTTGTGCATCACACTGCTATCCCTCACCCCCTTTCTCTCTCTCTCCCTCTCTCTCTCTCTCTATCTCTTTCTCTCTCTCTCTCTCTCTCTCTCTCTCTCTCACACACACACACACACACACACACACACACACACTGTTCCCTCACTCCCTCTTCGTTTTCTATTTTGTCTATGTTTCCCTTCTCTTTCATTTTCTTCTTCCTCTTCTTCTTCTTTTGAGATTTTTTTCAAAATCTACGATTCGATAGATGGCGCTAGTCCAATTTAGATAATCTGCGTTATCTGTGTTGCTTGGTTTCAGAAAAAATATGAAAGATAATATATTGTTAAATCATGTATTGATTTTGATCAAATATATGATTTACAGTAATCGTAAAAAAGGAAAGTTCCCAACTAGTAAAGAAATATGTAAGGCTGTAAAGAACTCAAAAAAAGTTGAATATGAAAAAGCAAAATTAAAGGACAAACTGCCAATACATTATCAAAAATGGGAAAATTTTACCCCTTAAGGCAGGGGAACTGATTGTATATATATTGTAATTCCTGTTTCCTGTTCA